TATGGGGTTGCTTGGTTGCAGTAAATTGAAGAATCCCAGCAAGCTTTCAGACTTCGTTTCAATCGTAGCGACCCGTCACCATTCGTGCATGGACGATGGCAAGGCTATATACCTTCCCCTTTTTGAGTTAGTATGCCAAAGAAGGTCGTCTCCTTACGTTTCTAAAAAAATGTACTTGGCTGCATACTGCCTCTGAGCAAATGTTTAAAAAAAATCCAAATCTTCCATAATCACGTTCAATTTTACTGCGCAACGTTTTTTTCACATCATTCGCTTTACATTCAAATGCGTAGAGGCAGTGGAAGACGCAAAGACTCTAGTCAAGGTGTAAAAAAACTGTTCATGGGGCGATCCCATGTAAATATGCAGCTTGAAATATTACGTTACCTTTGCAATTATCGCGAATTATCTAAGTAGGGAAGGATCCCAAAGCGCAGTGGCGAATAGTACATATTGTTGAATGCGCCTCGATGAGTTGATTTCAAATCTAGCTTCTTTATCTGCTGCGGGTATCCCTGAAAGAAGTTATGAAATGTCAAAAGTGTGAAGTTATCAAGGTTTCAAAATGCAGCTTGGGAGTGCATATGGCAAAGGTTGAGTGACTAGGAGTAATGCACATAATAACCAGAAACATAAATCATTCCTTCAGAACAACCGGTTCTTGAAAGAGTGCCCTTGGAAGTTTGCCTTTGAACTTACATACTCATAACTTGTTCCAACGTATCCCGTAGCGGATATAGAGGTTAGGCTTGGATTCAGCTCAACAAGATGATTCTAATGATAGACATTTCATTCCGGACCGTCACGGCAGTTTGGGGGCCTTTCCTTGCAAGAGGATGCCATTTCTGCCAAGCCGATGATGTCAATCAACCAGCATTGAGATTATCGCTACTATAATGATAAGTGAATTTTTGTCTTCCTCTGGCGGGCCTGCCTGGATTTTTGCTTTAGGTATTAGAGTTTCCTGAAACGTAGCTCTATGTTCTCTAGATAAATTCGCTCACCGTAAGTCCATGTTAACCAGCTCTTTTTTCTCAAAACAGAACGAGAATGATACCTGCTCACTCTAGCCTTAAATCTTGCACGTAAATCCGACTATAGATATCAACAGATTTGAATTTTCAAAGCAGTATGTAGTTCCCTCGAAGCTTCAAGGACATGGGCTAGCTGATAATTCGCAGGCATCTAAAGAGCGCTTCCAAGTAATATCTGAAGAGCTGACCACACAAACCTCATCGTATGTAAGAGAATGTAAGAGCTGCAACCCGGGTACCGGCGCGGTCATTTCCGTTTGAGCGGAGGTAGCAAAAAAATTTTTCGAATGTTTGGGATGCTTTCCAAAAATTTTGCGCACCCATAATTGAAATTTGGAGAAAGGAGGCGGCAGCCACAACTCCGAAAAAATTTTTACAAAGGTATGAGGTTTTATAAAATTTTGATAATCATGTTAATCATTTACAAGGTAAGTAAATATCGCTTGTACTTTTTATACTTAATACAGGTGACTTTTAAGAATTTCGCCACCCATGCACCCCGCCCCTCTCCGCTCCCTCACTGTTCGGTACTGAAGCGCGGCGTTAAAACTAAAAAACCAAAAACATAATTTGGTCAACAACTCTTGAATCACTGCAAATATCTCTTCAAAACGTTGACTTAATGTACAGAGAGCTCTATCTTTCTGCATTTTCTTTGAGACCACATTTTTTGATAAAAAACTTCTCAACATAGTGGTCTTATGTGTTAGCAGACTCATCTGTAGTAGGACTTATCTGCAAGAGCGCAAGTCTTTCTCGGTCTCTGGTGAAAAAAAGGACGTATCTAACAGACAGACACAACAGACATCCATAGTCAACTACTGAAGCCCGAACTGTTATTTTGCAGCATATCAGGGCCACACTTTATATGCTTTACATGATGTTTCCGCTTGAGAACGTACCAGGAAGTGTTGCTGAGGAAATTCACTTTTCTGGTATTAGCGGCATGAACAAAAGCTTGTGAAACACACATTACGGACGCGGTCAGAAGGAATACGATAAGTTTGGAAGCCTGTTGAAACGCTGCTTGAATTCAAACGCGCTGTTGCAAAATCATTGTATCAGTATAGTAAAGGCGATTCAAAGCGCAGACTGCGGGCGTACCTGCGTCTCTCTGATCGAGCGCTCTTTCGTTTCTCTTATCACCTGTTGTCTCTCCTGTGCACGAACTATCTTGGCCGGACGCAATGACGCTCAGTCTTTGCATGTCGAATCATGTACATGTGATAATATCAACACCCATAGTATACATGGTCAGAGGCACTTATCTAGGGTTAGATTTGGGATTTTTATCTTAAGGGCCGGGCATACTTCAGGCAATCGCAGTCGCGAAGCGATTTGGCATTACTCCAACCGTCCATAACTCACTGTAAACACATTTTAACCCATTGACGAAGATGTGGACCACCCGTGGCCCACACTTCTTACAAAATTTTATCCTTTCCAAGTCTAGTATTTTTCCCACAGTTCAGTATTTCTCCCAATTTTTTGCATTCTTGGAACCTGTAGACTTCGCCGTCCAAGAAAATGATTGAAGTTGTTTAGAAAAACATCTTTACATCTCGTAAATAATCACAAAACTTTCCCAAGCCGAAAGTTTTGTGCAAAATCGCGTCGTCCCACAGCGCCGCCATGCAGAATTAGGCGTCGTCCAATGGGTTAAAGGCAGTGTCCGGGCAAAAACTCGATTTTGAGATTTTGTGCTTATCCGGGCCTATTCGCTATGCTGAATTTGAAAATCCACATTGGAGAGCGCGAAAACGACGAAAAAGGGCTCTAACGCAGGAGGGAAATTAGCAAGTGGGCGGGGTCTTCCTCACTGTGAATTCACACTTCCAGCTTCCAGAGCAATTTTCTCGAATCCGTTAGCCGCCCTGACATCACTACCGATCAAGTGCAAACGAATGACCTGAAACCGGAATCAAAAAGATCGCCCCCGAAGCTGGGGGCGTGAATTCACCGTGGGGAAGACCCCGCCCACTTGCTGATTTCCCTCCAGTATTAGAGCCCTTTTTCGTCGTTTTCGCACTCTCCAATGTGGATTTTCGGATTCAGCATAGCGAATAGACCCGGGTAAGCACAAAATCTCAAAATCGAGTTTTTGCCCGGACACTGCCTTTAAATGTACAGAAGTTAGGGCATTTTATCAATCCGCGTCAATTATAAACACTCTGTGTGTGCAGTTTGCTAGTGTTGGCTCTGAAGACTTCTGGCAAAATGCCAAATCGCGTCGCGACTGAAATTGCGTGAAGTATGCCCGGCCCTTTACACTAACTTTTCTATCGTATAGGTGGTACTGCATCGAAGTAAGAAATTATGACCGCGAAAAAAGTCAGGTTTTGAAATTACACTATTTGGTTTTCTGCATTGACAGACGTGGTAACCAAAGGAGACACTTTAAGTGATAGGCGATATTGACCGCATGACGATCAACGCTTTTACGACCAACCTCTCATGACAAAACATGCAGTAAAAACGTCGCTTTTCTGTTATCAGCTGACAAGTGCCAGATCTATTTCCGCCAGGGTATGGTTTAGTCGTATACGATTGAAAATGCATGTGCAGTGTGACAAGGAATAGACATATTCATAATCGGGGTTCCCAATAATGGATGCCTAACCTTTTTTGAGCTAATAGCGGTGAAGAAATGTTCAATTGAAAATTTTGAACATTGTAGATTGATTCTTCTTCTCGCTTTTCACATTTTTACGTTTTTCCAGTTCTTGAAGAACTATGAGTTTAGTTTAACAGCCAAGGTTTTTCTATCGGAAGCTAAAAAATCTTATTCCATGACTATAAAACAAAAACTAGTAGGCAAATTCAAAAAAGTGGTTTGAGTGGTACTCTTCATACTTTTCAAGAAAATAGCACCTTGCTATACCGTTGAGTAGATTTTGATACAGTGTGCTTGCGGTGCCGAAAAAATGCGGTAGAATTTGCGCGTAAACGACTAGCAATGCTTACGACGCCGTCCACTCGGGCGCGCAAGATACTTGCATTACTTTCGCGGCTACTTGGTCACGGGCAAATTTTACCGCATTTTCTCGGCTTCGCCAGGACACTGTATCAAACGGAAGATTTACTCGACTATACATATATATAGATCTAGGGTTTATTTTCACTGCTTAATGCTGTCGGACTTTGGTTAACCTGCAGTATTCTAGCAACGACAAACGTGAGTGATCATAATGACGGCCATCGTCCACTCCACAATTACTGCTACAGTAGTAAATTTTCCGCTAAATATAGAGTGCTTGCACTGCAAATAAAATGCGCTAGTGCCGGCATTTTGCGCTCGCAAGCGTCACAGGCGTATCGTTGATTCGTTGACCGCACGACTGCCCAAATGCTGCGGATCACGCGCGGCGCAGCTAAAATTTTGCGAGAGCACGATTTATACAATGGTTAATTTGTACTGGGACAATCGTTTTACCTCGCGGCGCGTGCTCCGTAGTGATCCAGTCCGTGCGGTCAACGATTGAACTATAGCTATCTGTTCACGCGCAAATTTTACTGCATTTTACCTGCAGTGCAAGCAATAGTGAGCGGAAAACCTGCTCAACTGTACCCGTGCTCTGCGTCTTTGGCTTGCAACAGGCTTGACTATTATGTTGGCAACATGCAACAACATGTTGGCAGCAACGATTGGCTATTGTCCTTGAGGTCAACGTGTCGTTGCATGTTGCAAGTTGCAGCATGCAACGCTAGTTATGCTGCGTCAAAGACGCAGGGCACTGCCAACGACATTTTTAGGGTGGACAATTTACCAGTGTTTGGTTCTTGAGCGGAAGTCTCTCTTTTGCTGTGGAGAACTAAGCCATTCGCGTTTCGGCGCTGTCTCAATTTTATCATCGGTCTAATTTTATATGAGACTCGCGAACGCTTTACGCATATGCTTGTTCCCAGGGATGTTCGCATAGTACTACCATCACCGTGACCTTTTTAATCGTTCTAAACTTCAACTTCAGCAAATTTGATGCGCTTGTTCGCAGTTGACTGTTAAAACGATCCAAAGGCAGCTACGTTGATGGTGCCTATGAGAACATTTCCTGGAGAACAACAATATGTGGGCGGTAAGTCTGCATCTGTGCTTTGCTTCATTCCAAATGATTTAAACTGAACTTTGAAGAAAAGTGACTCTGTTCTTGCTCACCACGGTACAGAACGTTAAGTCTGCTGATTTTAGAATAGGCGGAAGCTTGAGCATAAAAACCTCTAATTTCGCTAACATCGCGCACGAGTGTCACTTTGAATAACGTCCAACAACTTTGCAAAGCGCACATATTCAGTAAATGAGCCTTCTCAGAGGATGGGTAATTCACACTTGAAGACACCATAAAGACTGAAATATGAATCGTAGCATAAGCTTGATTCACTGTTTTCGCAGTCATTCTTGCGCTGTGTTCGAAGCGAAACGCCAGCGAAACGCCATATTTGACCGTGGGATACGGCGCTCTAATCGCCGCCATGCGCGCGGGAAAACGCTGCTTTTAATTGCAGCGTCAATTTTCCACGGCGTTGACCTCACGAGCTGACAGTGGCGTCAGATCTTTGGCTTACAGGATGTGGGTCACTCGTAATAACCCTCCCCAGTGAACTTCCTCGTCTCGACTTATCTTGGCTTTGGTTGTAATTTCTTGCTAACTTTTTTGTAGTTCGTCATTGTAGACTTTTCGTTGCCATCTTTGAAATTTGTTTGACATCACTTCAAAGTCGTAAGTGGATACCGCTTTGTTACCGCTAAGAACTGCTTTTCAGGCGATGGTTCCATCTCCAAGAAAAACGCGAACATCTCCTCGAAAAAAAGCTTGGGCCTCTCCAGTGAAAGCTGCAGTATCAACAATATCGTCAATATTCGTAAGTGAAGTGCTTTCTTTCCTTGCAAGTACGAAAGTAGGGTATCTTTTGGTGTTACAGAATGAAGCTGATTTTTCTCCCTTAAACTCCTCTTGGGCTGAAATTACTGCGAATGATGAAAGCTTGAATGAAAGTCTCAAGGAAAACCTTTCGAAGAGTGAAGTAAGGAGGAATAGAAAGGCTGCTCTACCTAAAAAAGTGAGTTTGCACTTCCTGTAATGCTGTGCTATCCAGTCGTGTTCAGGCAAACTCGAAACCCAAGTTTGTCCGTTCATTAGAGCTTACTGAAGAGATCCTTGTCAACAGCAGACGATCAGATAGGATAAAAGATAAGGTAATGACCAACTTTCATTTTGCTTTAGATGTTTATTGAGCTAGTCATATATCTTAGGTTGAAGTGCGCACCGAAACCAAGACACGAGTTGAAATCTCCACAGTCAGAAACTATGAGGTAAGGTTTTGACTTGTCAATTTGAGCAAAAGCGGAGCACATACTATAGTCATTAGCTCTTCCAAAATGTGCGTAGTGTTTGCATTGAAACATTGTTTATGTTTGGTATGGCCTTGGGAAGATCTCATTCTTACATATCCTAGCGTTATAGTCACCCTTCCGCTTATTTGGAGGCTTGCTTCATGCACAAAGTGTGCATCAAATCGTTGACACATAAACTTGCAGACACGAAAACGTCATCTTAGCGCTGCTTCATCGGCTACAATTAATGAGGACTGTGATGGGTGCTCTCCCGTCAAAAGAGCTCCTCCATCCAGTGGACGCCCGGCTCGTAAAAATCTCAAAACCAGCTCGCCAGTGAGCAGTCCTTTGAGGAGCAGGTATGTGGGACCCGTAGTGAAGTGAGTATCTGTCTATGTACATGTTTATAGGTGTTTGTTCCCCTCTACTCCAAAAGACACTAAGAGCACTCCAAAAGAATTTACTCCAAAAGACTTCTGGGAAGATCCCGCTTTGGGCTGGTGCAAAGATCAAGCAGTTCTTGAAAGACGAACTAAGGTTTGCGTTGTTTTCACGAGTGTTAGTAATTACTATTCTATCTGTTCAGGAGATAAATCGTGCCAAAGAAAAACCCGTTTATACCCGGTATCTAGAAGAAGTTCCTCGGCATCTTCGCATCAAAGGTGTGCATCCACGAACACCTAACAAGCACATCAATTTCAGTCGCAGATCTTGGGATGCTCAGGTAACGTTTTCTCATTTGCTGAAAAGCAAGAATATCAATTCACAGTTCATCTGGTACTCCTCACTATCAGACTAACAAGATTTAGATTCAATTCCTTTCATAGAGATCTTCTACTCTTATGCTCATTGCATAATTCGTCTCTTGTCTCCTTCACATTTTCTTTTAGATGAGAAGCTGGAAGCGCAATTTGTATAGTTGGGCTGGCGAAGAACCTTCCGATTCAGTGAACACATCCTTCTGCAGCTATAGCTCTGATGAACAAAAACACGTAAGAAATTAAAATGCCTCTTTATTTGCTTGCGTGGAACTACCTTTTTAGGATGAGGAACAAGAAAATCTGGAAAGACCAGTTTCAGTTCTCCGTAGCATTAGGGAGATAGAAGATATACATGTAAGTTGCAAACATTTGTACGTTAGTCAAGATTCAATTTTGTTAGGTGCGACCGGAAACAGATGCTATGGCGTCTCTGTTGGGCCATTTCGATATTGATTCTCGTAGAGGTGATGAAAGCACACTGAAAGCACCGACTAATGGAAAAATGTCCGGTGGTCCTGTAGACTTTTCGTCTTTCGCTTAGAACTCTTGTAAAGCCGTCGTCCTTCAAATGTTATCGTTTAATTTTCGTTCATGTCAACCTCCTTTCATATCCTAGTGAAGCATTAAGCAATTACACCATTACTCACCAATTCTAGCCTCATCCACTTTTGTAGATTCCTGCGCCTATGTATCTAAGTTTCCATTTTGTTCATGTTTCAATCATTCTGTATCAATTTAGAATGCGTATTTAGCATGCTTTGAACCTGTGAGAAGTTATCGTGTAAATTAGCACTTCTGCTCAGTTGTCCTCTTGTGAGTTAACATCAGTGCTTGATTTCCGATGCGAAACAAGTCATGAAGTAAGAGTTCACGAAGATTCGTATTAGACATTGATCTGAAATGGTTTTGCTTGCATAAATGGTGACTATCTTGAGGGGGTTATCTGTTACAATCTATTGACTAGACGTTGTTCGAGATCACTAGTCCTACATTCAGGTGTTTGGACCAGTATGGCACTTAGCCGAAGTCAAAAAAAACTTTTTTTGGGGTTATCTATGAGAAACGTATCTTATGAGAAACGTGTAGGCGTACTCGTAGCGCTTCCTTGTCGAAACAAGCAGTTTGCATTTGCCATGTGAAAAGCGTCGAGGGCTGAGGAGATTTCTTCAAATTGAAATGGGCGGACCTTTTGGTTTGCATGCATTATTTCTCCTCTTAGGTGTTTGAACTCGAGTTTGCGCAGTAGTTGGGCCTAGTACCCGGTTATGTTAGCAGTCAAGAATGTTCACATTTGTCCGGGTTGTCTTGAAGACCGACAACGACCCAAAATGGGATCCATGAGATTTTTACGCGTAGCAGTAGCGGTGCTCTGAACTGTATACTTGCCCAACTCGCGCTGCCAGGAAATGCTTTCGAAGCGAGAAAATTGCCTCGAAAGTCGCTTCGGATGACGGCTTCGCCACGTTGGCTCCTCCTTTGAGTGGGCGTAAAGTTCGTCCCGCCCATCCGTGCGCACTCAAACAATCACCGTTCTGGAGAACTAGCCCTGTGAGTTCGGCAGAACGGCAGGGGTTTTCGCGGATCACCGACTTGATTTTCGAAAACAGAGACATGAGAAGGCCAACATGGAAGTAGAGAATTTGGTGAACGGTGCCTTTAAGAGAAAAAGGCCGCTGACTATGTTATCATCAAATAGCGGCGGGAAATTATGAAGGTGCAAGCAACTGCTTTGGATGATGAAGAGATGTTTCTCCCCCCCACCCCTTCCCGCCGATAAAAAATGTCATCTGCCTAGTCTTGCGGTACCCGGCAAAGAGAAATTCTGTCCACCGCCCCCTTTTGACTGTTCTGTAGGGATCAGATAGAACGCCATATTGACGCACCAAGACCCGATTTTTGATCCATATCAGGACCTTGCTAAATTGTATTCGCACTGCAGATTCAAGAGGACCTCTAACTGAACTTTGATTTTCATATCTACCCCTGATTGTCTGATGTTCTCCATATATTATGCCATCGAATGAGTGGACTCACTTGATAACTTTTTTATTTCAAGGGGATGTGGCATATGGTTTGGAATATGTGGCCTAAACATTATCAGTAAGGCTGCGCCACCGCATTAGGAATTTTGAGCTCCCACACGTCTCCATTCCCCGGGCATACTACAAGCGGTTTTAATCGCCACGCCATACGGTAACCTGCTAGAGCAACAGTACCAACAAGTGGTGTACCCAGGATTTCCGTTAGAGGAGGGGGGGGGGGGAGGAGGCGCAACAGGAATTTTTTGTCTAATGAAGGTGCGTGGCGTCAGCCGCGCACTCCGAAAATTTTTTGGTATGCTCCCTGAAATTTTCGCGGGCCCACAACCCCGAATTTTCAGAAAAGGTGGCGTGTCGACAGAAACGCCCACGAAAAAATTATTTTATAAGGCTAGAATGAATTGTTAGAAATTTCTGAAAATCATATTAATTATCCAAAAGCATAAACAAGTCGCTTTTTAAACTCATAAGTAGCTTTCAGTGTGTTAGTACAAGTGGCGTACCGAGGGGAGGGGGGGGGGGGGAGGGTCGCCCATCCCCCTCCCCCTCGGTACGCCACTTGCACTAACAGACTACAGTTGCACATGTTCGCAGGAATTTGGCTTGAATTTTAGCCCCTGTCCTCATCACATGAAAATCTGCGCAATGCACTGAGCTGAGACTGCGTGTCGGCTTACAAAGCATGTTGCTAAATCCGGGGAAAGTTTCCTGTAGTCGAGCAGTTGACTCACATGAAAACTAAGAAATACTCGATTAAGCGAGTTTTTCTGTGAGTCAAGTGCCCAGAAAACTTTTCGCGAATCAGTTTTCAATTATAATCGGGCCTAAGTAGATTCATAAGATTTTTATGAAAGGACCTCAATTTTGATGGAGTTAGGTATATTCAACTTTTTTTCAACTTGGTCGCTGTCGTTTCTAGAAGAGTGGAGTGAAAAACTTAGTGGAGTATAATAAGCATTTACTCATATTTATACTCATATAGTTACAGATGTTTTCGAGATTTTAACTACCTCGCTGCTTATCTAATAGGGTTTCAATAAAACTATATATTTAAAATACAAGCGCGTTGTTAATGTCTTAATATTTTGTTTCTATTCTCACATCAGGAAACAAAGCCAAAAACAAGTAAGCATTGATTTTAAACCCATATGTGTGTTGACCTTACAGGTGGGTAGGTTTACCCTTTGATTCAACTGTCTTGACGGCTGGAAGGCGGCCTTGGGACCTGATTAAGGCTAGGTGATCAGGAGTGTATGTCGAAAGGCGCGCGTTTCGACAGTCGTGATTGCCAGAAGGGTTTTGTATTCTACAAAAGCGAGGTTTCCAAATTCCTAAAGTTTGGTCATCAAATCAGAAATAGTAAAAGAGGATTACTAGTTAAAGTCCCGGAAGTACTAAACCAAATTCAAATTTTTTTTCTGGCTTTTCTGATTAGTGACAATCGATCAAAACGCGCCATTCGACCGTCTCCCGGTGATCAGAGAGTACGCGCGCAGGGGAGACGCAGACTGCGTCTCAGGCGACCTTAATCAGGTCGCAAAGATCCACCTTCCGACCGCCAAGCCAGTTGAATCAAAGTTTACATAATCGTAAGTTATGTATAAAAAGGTTTTTGACAACTTTCAATTTGATTCAATCTCTTGTTGCAATTCAAGACGTCTGAGTCTTTTACCAAAAAACTTGTTTGCAGGGTACTTTGTTCTTCCGTAAAAAAGTAGCGCACACGGATGACACGAACTCAGGTATTGTTTATTTCAGGATTCTGAAGCTGACCATCAAGTCTTTCAACTGCACGCCTTTTCAATCAATTGCGCTTTCTCTAGCTCAAGTATGGATTGACCGCTGCCCATTTCCACCTTTTCGGTACTAACCATATTTGGCTTTCACAAATGATCAAATCAACTTGTCCAACATGAAACGCTTCCTACATTTCAATGTTTCATCAAAACTTATGGGGAAGTCTTTTTGATAAACGTGGCTTCTTCATAAAAATAACTCACTTTGAGGAGCGTTGCACGCTGGTACGAAATGTGTCTTCTCTATTTACCTTTCGACGCCGTGCAATGAACGTTTTTTTTTCGAGAGAAAAATGAACGCAGAATTTAGGTAAGCTCAATAGTTACTGTCTTTCCAGCGCTCAAATAGAGCAATGTTGAGTATGAGTGTGTTGGGCACAAGTTATCCATTATGGAGTGCTCTGATACTGAGCACGGACCTTCGAGCAAATTCAGACGATTTTCTTCCTCTTGCGCGTTCATCAACAAAAGAAAAACGCACATAACTCGGCGTCTTAGGGGCTTGAGATATTGAAAAAAATTTTGAATCACCGTTTAATGCCTTTGATATTGGGGCAGGACTCATTTGGAAAGGCCACTTTGACAAAAAAGGCTTTTTCTTTTTGGTTCCACACCTTAAGGCCTGAATCGTACCCTGAACCAAATCGAATGATTGTTCGATTATTTGAATGAATCATTCGAATGCGAATTCGAAAATTCCGTATTCGATATTTATCGAATAAAATGCGGTATTCGAATATCAAAAAAAATGGAGTTTCCCAAAGTATGAACGATGTTAAACCAACACGGTCTTTTGGATTACTTATACTTAGCACACCAATTGCGAATCTTGCTATATAGAATAAATCCTTGTCATGTCACTCAGCATATTTCTTCATGGGACTACAGAAAGAATCTGCTAATTGATCTGCCGTAAATTTGCCATATACCCGAAAAAAAACAACAAGGTCATGATCAGTTCCAAAGGCAGAGGACATAAGGCAAGCAGTGGCGGTCCCAGGATTTCCGTCCGTGGGAGCAAATTTTTTTTTTTGAGATGAAGGTGCGTGACATTAGCCACGCCCTCCGAAAAAATTTATGGGGTGATTTCGAATATTTTTGCGGGCCCACACCCCTAAAATCTAGAAAAAGGGGTGTGGCGGCAACCACGCTCCAAATTTTTTTTATAAAGCTTATTTGAATTAAGAATTTCAAAAAATATTTTGATTAGCTACAAAAACAAACAAGTCATCTGCACATTTCTATAACCCACGTCAGCAAATTTCAATTTCGCGACCGGTTCTTGGGGGGGGGGGGGTGGGGAGACGCTACTGAAGGCAAGTGAATGTCGATATATTCTAACTTATCAAGGGCTTCTGCCTCATTTTACTATTCTCATATCACTTAACTCGTTTTCATAGGACTTTTCCAGCATCTTTTCCTTCCTGGTTCACCTCGACTGATCGAAGAAATCTAATCCTATCTATTACTCAAAAATTTTTGACAGAGAAATAGTCACCTATCTTGGCTGTTAACACCTATTGTGTTGACAAGCCGAGATAGGAGGCTTTTTGACAACAAGAAGATGTTATATGTTTAAGCGTTGAGCCTGTTTGAGCGTTAGCTTGACTGATTCTTATGACCGATATCTAACAATGCAGTAGAGAAGCTTTATTTGTATTCCCGTTCTAGGAAAAGAAGCTCTACATTTGAATGATTGAGGACGCCGACATGTTTGTTCTTCCATCTTCTTATCCATTATCTTTGATCTGCCAGATGTCTGACACTAGCAGTGCTGTGAAAGCGATTCAAAAAACACTTCCGCTTACACTCAGACAATTGACATTCGACACAAAGATTAAGCCTTTAATTTTAATTTTTGTTGACTAGCAGCAAAAACAGCTCGTCTCACACCTCCTTGCGTCTTTTTACGTTCTTGCAGTTACAATCGATACTCGTCTTTGTTTGTGTCCCATAAGAGTGGATAATCTCTCACGAACCAATCTATTGAATAAAAGGTAAATTGTCGGGTTTACCTTAAAAGAAAGGTAAGAATGAGGAGTTTTATCAGACAAATATCCTACTCCGTTGGTAATAAAAAATAAAGAAGACATGAAGAAATAACTCCATCTTGATGAATCTAAATGTGGTAGCCATTGACATGTTGACCACGTGAGTAAATAAATTGCAGACAAGGCACTGAACTGAAATTTTGAAGAAGTTAGCTTGCTAGAATGTGGCCCCCGTGTATTTATTTATGTTGGAGTAAAGATCCTGAACACAGGTCATAGCACCTTTTGACAATTAGTAATCACTGACCATTTTGAATCTAGCTCATGCTCTTAATCCTGCTCAAGCCATGGTATTATTTAGTTATAGGTACTGTAATAGTTACCTGCACAAGTAGCCGTAGATTCATCTTGCGAGTGAGACTGTAGGAACGGTCAAGTAACTGAAATTACAAGAATCATACTAGTGTTCCGCAGTCTCCGCGCACTCTTGAGAACGGCTGAGTTTCCAAAAATGGAATACATGAGTTATTTATCAACTATTGATACTATTACATTACTATATGTTCTAAGGGACAACATACCTACCTTACTTTCATGGCGAGTCCGCCGAATTTTGATGAGTATGATGGTGTAACAAAAAACCATTACAATGAGGGTTACGGTATTTATGACCATATCTACGTATTTATACCTAAACATCTTTTTCAGTGCTTAGTCCTCAAGTGTCCTAATATTTATGATGCTGATCATCCTTTCTTCGAGGAGGCATCAACGTCATCGCAGTTTGTTGCATACATCAATGTAGAAAGCAAAACCAAAAATTAGATACTACCAGAATATACGATCACATAGGGCCTCTACATTTTTTGCAAAACCTGGGACTCAAAGCGGAAAAATAAGTACCCTTTGCTCCAACCAGATTGGCTGCTGGAAGGCGGAACTTCATGACCTAGGAAGCGACTGCTCGCATCCGCAACACAGTCTGCGCTTCCCTCGCGATCATGCTTACTGATCATTTTCTAGCCTTAATTAGATCATGGAACCCCGCCCTCCAGCCGCCGATCTGGTAGAAGCAAAGGGTACTTCCTATTGATGTTTTTTTGCGACCGTCCTTCGAAAAAGAGATCTAATCAATCCTTGTTCTAAAGAATTCATACTCTTCCAAATAAGCATAATAAGATTCCCAAAAAGTTATTTGCTCGAATATTCCAGTCGCTTACATCAACTCAAGGCCACGCAAAACCGATCACCTGTGCAAGCGGGTTAGCATCTTAGCGCCGTGCGGCCAAGCGTACGTACCCGACGTACGCTGAAAGAGCATTGCAGGTAGCATAGGCCAAGCTTGCAACGCACAGTGAATATCTAATTTGAATTGATTTTTTAACAGAACACCTACGCACAGCCTCTATCACTGCGCTAGCGCAGCGCTGGCAACCTGCCGAGAGTAAGCGGCGTACAGTATGCTTTGAATTTTCGACGTACGCAGCTGTTTGCTGCACGTATGCTGCAAAGTCTGGTTCAACCCTAGATTATAGTAGCCTTATCAGCGGAAACAAGCCGAAACATTAACTTGAGATCGCGCGTTGAGAATGCTAGGGGTTGCGGCATTTGCGCGCAAAGCATTGCCGGAGGGAATTAAGAGAGTGAGTAGTCTACCAGCTTCTAGCACAACAAACTCATCAAAATTATACATGATACAAAAGTGTTGCAGACGAGCCCCAGGCCAATTTCGGCTTTTCGGGATTGGAGCCAACTGCGCGGACCCTACCCCATCAGTCATATGGCTCGGGTAGTATATATGACTAACATGGGAAATCATCGTTCCGTCGATATCGACAATCCACAACTGACCGCAAACTAAATGCTCATGAGCTTCTGCTGCGGTTCCCAAGTTGGCTCTCCGGCTGGCATCTAACATCGCCTCATACGAGCTGTTATAGGCAGTGTCCGCGCAAGGTGAGAGTCGTAGAATTATATGCCATGTAAAAGCGGACGCCCTCGAACAAGTCATTGAAAAGCGCGGAATCATAGCATAAGACCGGAAGCGGAGAATCTGCTCGAAGTGGACTTGAACTCTGTAGAAGATTTTGTCCATCTCTTGATTTGCCCTGAGGCAGAGTTTGCATGCGACCACACGATGACCCAACCGCACCGCTCAGGCAAACGCTCGGAACCATCGGGGAAGCTTGCAAAGCTCTGGCACTTCTGAGAGGCACTCTCAAAGGCAGTGTCCAGGCAAGTCTGGGCATAGGGTTTTTTGCGAAACTGTCGAGGAGACTCTAGCTAAGACACTGCCCAAGCCGCAACGCAAATAATTCATTCATGGCTGAGAAATCCATTCACAAACATTCCGCTGCTGCGCCGTGACCGTAACACTTAGGATTGGTCCCAGCGCGAACGTAGTGTTAAAGGGAGCGAAGTCGTTTGAGTTATGGTCATGGCGCAGGCGCGGGGTTTTCGGGGACGGATTTCTCAGCTATGATTGAAGAATTTGCGCTGCCCCTTGGGCTTTGCCTTAGTTAGGACCCCGTCATCAACTTACAGGCGAAAGAGCCATGCGAGCATATTTGCCTGGACACTGCCTTTAACCATTATAGCTGTCAGAGAATGAGGGGCTGGGGCGGTACGCTCGGGATGACGTTAAGAAAAGTCTTTCGTGACATTTGCCCCGGAAGTCCTAGAAATCTGCGGAATCACTGGGAATTTCTAAACGTCGATTCCTTCGGGACAATTAGTACACAGTCAATTCGTTATGTTCCGCAGCTTATGCATCTTTGAAAATAAGCTGTTTTCGTTCTCATTGCTCAAATCGTTTTTCCATATTTTTCCCCGCCTTTATGTTGTTTGTATTTCTCCGTCATGTTGTTCTTTTGCGTTTTTGTCGCTTTCTATTCTTCTTCTTTTCGGGTAAAAATGTGCGGAGGCGTTTTCTTGCCATTTACGTAGGAGGCGCAGGGGGGCTCCTATGCAAGCTTGCTTCAAATGTCTTTTAAGTTTCTCATCCGCGCTTTATTGATATCCTCCGTCTTTTGTGTTGCTCTTCCGTTTTTGAATCCTACTTCACTCTTGTGTAAGCTTATTTTTTCATCTTGTTCTTCCGCGTTTTTGGTTTCTGCGTCACTTCCAGTCTTTTTTTTTCAGTTAGAGCATTGCGGATGGGCTTTGTGCCTTTCACCGTAGGAGGCGCATGCAAGCTCTTATGCAAGCTTGCTTCCTTTCCGAATCCTTTTTCACCGGTTTCTTTTTCTTGTTGTTCCTCCGTTTTTGGCTCTTACGTCGCTCCTGACTCTTCTTTATTTAGGTAAAACATTGCGGATGCAGTTTTGTGTATAATGTCTGTCTCTCAGCCCTCACATATAATCTATTTAATGTCTTCTACTGGTCGCCCGTCGAAGCATCACAGGCTAGAACGTACCACTGAGAAGGAAATTTTTTTAATACTCAAATTAAGGGACAACACGTATTATTTTAGAGTGTTTTCTAGCACTCCTCCTCTATTGTATGCTGTGGCACTCTTCATGCTTTTGACAAGCACCGTCCTCCGAACCATATCAAGGTAAGTCCTGGGAATTTGTTCGTCTTTTACCAAGTCAGTGACTTTGTTGTGGGGTTCCATACTGCAGTAAAGAATATTCGTCGACGACTGCCCCGACTCGTGCAATTACACCACCGTAGGTGCGCCTCTTTGGAGCCTTTCCAGCTTGACAGTACGCTGCAGCGCGCGGGGACCCGTTAGCTCGCAGCAACACTGTCCTTTAACCCCTTTTGTTCTTTGAGCATTTCGCACCGTTTCTCCTCTTAATTTCTATATTTTAGGCAGCCATTTGTTTCCCCCTTCTACAGTGCTGGACATAATTATAAAGCCACTCTAAAAATCGTCGTAATTTTCGTTCTTATCAATGAATCTGTCTGAAACTTTGCTGTATTGTGCGCATGTCAACCTACCATGATCCTTCAAAACGGCTTCCAGTCTTATTGAATCTGAACGGAGAAAAACGAAAAAATTCGAAAAAGCCCTCTTTGAAAGCTGGACAAAATTATAAAGCCACCTGGTTTTTCTAATCACTACCGCATTCGTTGGCTCTCAAATTTTTTTGTACAATTACATCCCAAAGTATGAAACATTTGCAACACCTACGGTTTGTCATCCTACTCAAATAGAAGCGGTCACTGCATTTTTTGCCTTCAAAAGCAACAAAAGTCAATCTGCTTCAACAAACAACTGATTTGAAAGTTTTCAAGCTCTTGTTCACTTCAAATGATAACCATGGAATCTACTGACCCTTCTGGATAGATGAGATGAAGAGCGCTTCCGTAAACTCTGCGTAATCGCTGATTTTGACGGACATACTCCAACCTCACCATAGGTTTGACGCACTTTTGCACCACAAAACTCGATTTTCAAGCGACAGAAAATATTAATGTAGTCATTACGATAGCCATACAATAGTGAACTCGCGTGCATGACTGGGAAAAAATTTCGGGATTGAGCACTTTGGTTCAGCCGCAGTTGACATCCATTGAATGTTGAGTGGAGCACCCTGCACAATCAAAGCCAGTTCAGATCACGAGATAAAACCGGAGACGCTTAAAACTTCAAAATCCTAGCTAAGCTCATTCATCGGATAAAATATGAGCTGAGACACAGAGGGAAATAGGGAGATCTAGGATTATATCGAATCTTCTGCTCGCAGGGAATTTTCGTGGAAAGTTTTTCAGGTCTAAATCGCTACCATCATTAGGGAAAATCTGAAAGTTGTTGCTAAAGCTGCATCCCTATGTAGGCAATGTAATGGATCAAGTTCAGCACTTTGTGGACATTGCAAACTAAGTTTTATGGTTTAAAAGCGTTTCAACCTTATGGTGAGGTTGGAGTCTGTCCGTCAAAATCAGCGTTTACTCAGAGTTTACGAAAGCGCTCTTCACCTCATTTATCCAGATGGGTCAGTAGATTCCATGATTATCATTTGAAGTAAACAAGAGCTTGAAAACTCTTCAAACCAGTTGTTTGTTGAAGCAGATTGACTTTTGGCGCTTTTGAAGGCAAAAAATGCAGTGATCGCTTCTATTTGAGTAGGATGACAGACGTAGGTGTTGCAAATGTTTCATACTTTGAGATGTAATTGTACAAAAAATTTGAGAGCCAACGAATGCGGTAGTGATTAGAAAAACCAGGTGGCTCTATAATTTTGTCCAGCTTTCAAAGAGGGCTTTTTCAAATTATTTCGTTTTTCTCCCTTCAAGCTCAACAAGACTGGATACCGTTTTGAAGAGTCATGTTAGGTTAACATGCGCACAATACAGCAAAGTTTCAGACAGATTCATTGACAAGAACGAAAATTACGACGATTTCTAAGAGTGGCTTTATAATTATGTCCAGCACTGTATTAGGGTTCTCTCGCTGATCAAATATCCTACCTTCTCCTTTGATGAATACTGAAAAATGCGAAATAAATTAGTTCAGGCCATTTCCTGGATTTCTCTCCCTTTTTACTTACCAAACTTCAAATATTTTCAAGATCATGACCCGCCGCCCCGGTCAAAATTGGGTGAGAGGGTGTGCTTTGTTCAGAAGCAGTAATGGCTATCATGCATTATGAGACCAATCACATGTTTACTTCAGCACTCCTACATGGTGTGTCTGATGTAGGAGTGATGAAGTGATCACCACTCTATGGTCCGTCCTAAGAAACATGTCAAATCATTATAAAACATTGACGTAACCATACAGTTACGATCATAGCATGATCGCACTACTGCAAGTACAAAAGCTCATTTTTTCTCTTAACTTTGCCCGCGGCGATGGTCTCACGTAGACAGAATAAGTAACCGGAAATGAAAATAAGAAGAAAAAACGATGTGAAAAACTTGGCAAAGATTAAAAGAACGGTGTTGCTGCGAGCTACCGAGTCCACGCGCGCTGCAGCGTACTGTCAAGCTGGAATGACTCCGAAGAGGTGCGCCCACGGTGGTGTAATTGCACAAGTCGGGGCAGTCGTCGACAAATATCCTTTAGCTGCGGATGTGAAGAATTCAGGGTAGTCTTTTCTTGCTCAAAGCAATCTGTTTGTGGGGATGTCTAGTGATGTAGCCACGATCTCGTTTTGTTAATGCTTTTACTGTTTTTGGGCAATCTTCCACACTTTTTTAGACAGTCGCTTGTCACTTTCCATAACTCCTAAGTAATCAGCTCTCTTTACATTGTCTCTATATTATTCTATATTCGTCATCCGTACAGTGGTGCTATTTTCCAATACGGCACATGGGTGAAATTTCCGATGGAATTCAAAACTCCATTGAGATCTTACTCTTTTTCGATTCGGAACATTGTCTCTATATTATTCTATATTCGTCATCCGTACAGTGGTGCTACTTTCCAATACGGCACATGGGTGAAATTTCCGATGGAATTCAAAACTCCATTGAGATCTTACTCTTTTTCGATTCGGAACCTTTTTGCGAAAGATTTGTAGTCTCCTCCTTTTTAGTTTCCACCGCTTTGGCGCTTTTCGAACGCTGACGGTCATTACATAGGGGACAGAAGGTTGTAAACTCATTCCACTCCATTCTAGGACCAATTGCTCATACGCTAACTAGAGGAGCATCTCCGATATCGATAAATTATGGCAATCGACTACTCCCATGCCTTTTTATCTTCATCCTTTGTCTTCCCTGATGTTTATATTTCTCAGCTCTCACATATTATCTTTCCCAGTGTCTTCCACTGCGTCGCTCGCAAGCATCAACAGGCAAATTGTGAAGGAATGCGCCATTAGTGAACTGATTTTCTGCAAACAGTTTTCTGCGAACACTTTACAAAAAGGTGCGCGTGTCTCAAAAGCTCCGCTAAGAAGAGGGCTTAATCTGCCGGAATCCATGGTAGAATTCGTACTGGTAGCGCTTTTCCTTTGTATATGTTCCGGTGTCCACCCAAATTTTCGAACCGTCGCACTCGTTAGGTCACCCTGAACTTTTGAGAGAATGCTTACAAGTCTAAAAGCTTCGAGCAGTAGCTTCGCGCCAATATGTGCTTAGGTTGACTTTTGAGTCACCCAAAATCGTTTATGCAGGTTTTGGCTTGCCTTTGAGAAACTAAAAAAGCTAGAGAAAAGTGATTCGGTCAGCTCTTAGAAGGGAAATTTATTTGGGCTGGTAGTGTCAAAGTGATGGGACACAGAAGCATTTTAGAATGTTTTGTTCGACCGTCATTGTTTTGGCGACATTGCATCGGCGTCGTTTATAGAAAAACTGCCACAGCGTATGTAAAGGACGATTAATCCTAAAACGCTGTTTTCTCCGCTTCATTTTCAAAGCTTGAATGTTTACCTTTAGTAGAAAAGAGGGGAGGAGGTCTTGTGCAGATTGAAGACAAAGCAATGCCTTCCGAAAAGTGAAAAGAAGCGATTTTGTAAAGGATCATCTTTCATTTATGAAGTTTCTGTTCTTCTCTAGCTATCATTTGTAGATTGATTCTCTGTGCGTTAAGTAATCTTCATCTTACTCCATCTCACTTCTTAGCGATGACTTAATTTTTTCGCTTCTTCATAACCCAAAGTTGTCTTGCATATATCGCGTTGATTGCTTTGTTTAGGCATGAATCGATTTGATTCCCCATAAAAATCTTGAAATTTTTCTTGTTTTTTTTTCTTGCGTTTGTTACTTTATTACGAATAAATAGTATCATGTCATGTTTGGTAGTGTTCCGTCGTTTTGAAAGTGGTGTTCCCTCCTTCTAAAAAAAATCAGTTTTGAGTTGGGATTCAGTGTCTAAAGACATTTGGGGTGGAGTTTAGGGGCAAAATTGGAATTAAGAGCTTAATTAGGGCTAGTTACAGTATGCCAGATGTGCAAAGGGCGGGGCTTGTGCGAATCAAATTTCAGTGGGATCCGGGGCACGATTCCAGTACCTACCGCTGGAGATTTCGGATGGCCGATGGATCCGAGATTGTCTGAGCGATGACCGCTTTGCCGAGCATGCGCGCTCATATTTTTACTTCCGAAAAAGCTCTCCGGTGATGAAGTGACACGGCGGGGACTAAAGGTGGGAGAGGGGTGGGGGATGGCGGCAGATACATGACATGGTATACTGCTTTATAAGGCCTCAAGCAGACGAGAATATAGACAGCAAAATGCTCGAAGAACATGAAAAGGCTGAGATATGACGGTCATGTAGAGGACAGCAAATTCTCCGTAGCTCGAGATACTGTAGCTAACAGAAACGAACCCGTTCTCGCTTTTTGTGTAATAATACTGCGCGGTTTACCGTTGAACAGTGCTTTGTTCGTCAAGAGCACCTGACTGAGTCTCATTTGAGAGTAAAGACCATGTATAATACATCACTTTTATTCGCACCACTCAATTTGGAAAGTGTTCTAAAAAGGAATAGTGGCTCACCATCCTCCAGCTCCAACATATTTGGCGAAGTAATCATATGAGTCCCACAGAGTGTAGCAGCAGGGGAATTGCGTGGGAAGAGAAACAGCTATGCCTAGCATGTAACTCGAAAACAGTATATAAACGGTCATTTTCCAGGAAAAGCACTTTGCATAAGAAGACGGGTACACGATGCAGATGTATCTGAAGGAGAATATAGAGGCGCAGCATATGCATATGTTGAGAGACCTGTTGATTGCCATCACGCTAAGATGCACTACTTCTGTATACCAAAAAATATCATAGAACAACAGCATGATTACGTTGGTGAGTGATTCGTACGTAAAGTACAATTCATGTAAGAAAATCGAGGGAATCGCATGAATGAACGCCATTACAGACATGCCCATGTCGCATACCGCATGTGAAGCAATAATCCAGAAGCTAAATTAGATGCGCAGATAAATATAGAGATCACATGACGGCCGTGTGCCTCACCTTGGCGTTGCCCGCATCCGGGCACTAGTACCAATTGAAACAATAAGCGAAACATTTGCAATAACGGAGTACAATGACAGTACGATCCATGTGCTTCCAACGATTAGATCCATTAGTATCAGTAGAAGTGCTATATTCCTAGTAAATAATAGAGCTGAACGGGGGAAGGTGCAAGACAAATGAAATATGAAGATGCTATTGGAAATACCTTTGTTTCAACTTTTTGAATTGCCAGTAACAAACACTAAACGCACAGGTTGTCTCAATTTATGTAGACCCGGATTAATCGTTGTCTTTCTTGTATAACAAAGTCTTCTGCCATGGGCACATTTGTGCAGAGTTGGTGTCAAATTAGATTTACAGTGCGGAGAGTTTTACTGAATGCTCTTAATTATGGTAGGATGCAGAATAGAGCTTTGCATGATCATGAAAACGATGAGTTTACGGTCATTGCTCTTTAGCGTTCTCAGTCCCCTTCCCCTGTCAGCCGCTTTTTTGCTCTCAGATGTTGGCTTGTAAATATCTGAAGCGTTTCAAGAAGTACGGAAGCTGTCTAATTGGTTTGAGATTTTATGGCATATGGCATCACGCGGGAGCAAAGACCGCAAACACACCGACGTCCGCGATCTGACAAAGCCCTATAGGAATTTTACAAAGCGGTTGTGAGGGGTGTAGGACATTAGCCGCCGAAAGTGAGGAGATCGCGCTGACAATGCAGCAGATACTCAGCCTGTGCATGCATTGGAATGTGTATTTGTTGCAGATGTTCGGCGGGACCTCCCACTTTCGGCGACCTAATGTCCTCCACCTCGTTTTGAGGCATCAAAAGGCATATACGTCTCCCAAAGAAAACTAAACAGTTAAACTCGGATAATAATCGGAGTCGCTTTGAATCTGAAGTTCAGCTTTTTTGTAATACTTCTTGAAGACTTATGAGGTCTACCGTAACAACGGTCTTTTCGATGTTTCTAAACAATGTGGTTACACAGTTTAAAAGGTTTCAAAACTCGTAAAAAGCGTGTGGCGATATCGATATGTGTGAAAAAAAACTGCTACACTACTTTAAAGTTCCCTTCGGAAATATTCTTAGCATCCATTTTACAAAGGTGCTGCATGCTGAAAGTTCCCAAGTTTTTCGTAAGTTCCTAATCTACAGTAATCAGAAGCGTTCGATAAATCGGTTCATGACGTAAATTTGAGTTGAAGCGAGTTCTTTAGAATGGTGCCTAAAGTTCGCCAAAAGACTTTATGTGGAAAGAGATATCCAACAATCAAACAGGATGCATACTTCTGAGACAACGATTTTTTGGAAAATAAAAGATTACAAAGAGTAAGATAAGCTACATAATAGAGATCTGCGTGGAGTGAAGCACAATTTACGTCTTGATGATGAACAACGAAATGTCAGGATAAAGATGAGTACTACTGATTTGTTTTGACCTTTATTGTTTGAGGAATAGAGATGTAAGAAAAACTGCGAGATGTACTTGAGCGTCAATGTATTAGTTCGTATCTTGGTGTAAGTTCAACTATGGTAGATTCTCACAGGAAAGCGATTATCGACAACAATCCTATGACGTAGCCCTACGTGGTCGCAAAACGGAATTAGTGCAATGGAAATCCTGAGAAATTGGTAGAAACATTTACCCACGAACTTTGTTATCAATATAACCAATGAGTAAACCGAGTTATCTGTATACAGGATCTGGGATGTTATTTTCGCTTGCCCAATAGAAAAATAACGGGACTCATGAAATATGACTGCAGTGAAATCACGAAAACCTTACTCCTCGAAAGTCTGCCTACTTCTCACTTTATACATCTAAACAGGGAAGGCATGTGACTCGCAGTGGAGTTTCCCTATAAAATGCATATCGTTCGAGAGGTCTTTGAGTGCTGTTTGCAAAACAGGCTTCCTTATCTGCTTATCGGTTTACTGAACAAATGTAGGCATTTGTTTGGCTTCAAATTATACTGATTGTGGTTGCTTTTTGCCGGACTAAGGCGGCAGAGTAGCTCCAAAACTATTTCCATCAATTTCTTATGTGCAATAAATATATCTCAGACATTTGGGCATGTAGCTTTGGACACAGTACTTGACCATGAAAATCGGAGGCGAAAAATTGCCTGTAACTTCGTTCAGTTAAACGATAAGCAAATAATGAAGTTCGTTTTGAAAACAGCAATCAAAGACCTTTCGAATGATGTACATCTTATAGGGAAACTCTACTGCGAGTCATATATCTTCCCTTGTAAAACGAAATAGAATACGAAAGTGATCAGTAAGTGCTTCATTGAGTGTGATCTTTCAATCTAGTGAAATCAATAATTATGGTGAAATCAATAATTATGTTGAATTCAATATTCAAGTAACGATTTGACATGATAAAGAGTTACGATACGATTTCCGTAGACAATCGCCGATTGATACTGTTCATTCTGTAAAAAATATATTCCTACCCTTAATTGTTTTCGTAAATGTACTGGCGAGGGTAATGAGAATGTAGCAGATCATAAGGATCTTCTGAGCATGCGGGATAATGATAATACGTAACCACTCTCATTGAGCCCCCCCCCCCCCCTGCCTTCCCTAGGCGCATTTCATCACTACTCGCATGCGCTTCTACAAGCAAGGGTTTACAGCTACATGCAAGGTAATTTTGCGAAATTGTAGGAGTCACTGCATGATTGGTTGCTCGACTTACACAAATCGGTTGTGGAGAAGAATTCGAAGTCATTCTGCTAAAGAAACGTTTGAAAGCTGATGAACTATTGAATTTTGCACCTTTTAGAGCCTGCACACACAAATTCGGTAAAATTTATTTGGCTGTTGCTTTCAAACTTCATTTGGTTTTCTTTTCTTGGATGTACATCAGATTTTACAAAAGCAGTCAGCCAGCACAATAGCGAGCATGCCGGTACCAAAAGCTTGTCATAACACAAGAGAAACCTCCAAGTAAGTGAAAGTTTCCTCACCAAATCCACATTCATCCACGGTATTGGTTGTGCACAACTCATTAAAGCTGTATTGTTTTGCATAAACTAGACGCGAGATGGCCAAATGCCTGTACGAAGCTGAATTCTGGGCAAAAGAGAGACCAGCAGTGGCCCTATTCATCAACGAACCACGAGGGTTAACCCTGGAAAGCGTTCAACCCGTATTCATGAAACACAGGGTAGGCTTAACCCTGAGGGTTAAATCTAACCTTGAGGGTTAATCTTACCCTGAAAGCGAGTAACCCGTATTCATCAACGAACCGTGAGGGTTAAACTAACCCTGGAGGGTTAAACTTACGTGATTCATCAGGGTTAATTTAACCCTAGCTCAGAGCAAGGTTAACTTTACCCTAACACTTCATACAAACATTTACTCGCATCTAATAGTTTATGGAAAACGATCAACGAGTATTGTAGTATTTAGTATTGGTTGTTTTTATAGTATTTAGTTTCGACTTCGTTTTATGTTCATATTCGAAGTACATGAAACACTGACTTCGAGAGAAAAAGAATTCTAGCTTTGGTGACGAATGAATGCGACGAGGAAAAATGGCATTCCACTCTGACAAGTGCCAAAGAGAAGAACCCCTTTATAATAACACGCATTGACCCCTAAAAGAGTAGCACAAGCCCGGTATAAAACGAACTGCGCAAAAGTAGAACTTACACCGCACAATTGCACACATGAAAATAAACTCACGCTGGAAGATTGGATGCTGCACAAGTATGCTAGAGATGTACTATAAAAACTAATGTTAGAAGCTTATTCGTTGACTATACTACTATAACAGTGAAAGAATAGAAGTATAAAGTGAATTTAGTTCGTACTTAGGCATTCTGTGATGTGAGTTTACACAACGCACGCGTAACTGACGCCTTAACCCTCCAAGGTAGTTTAACCCTCAGGGTTGATGATTACGGCCACAGGTTCGTTGATCGATACGGGTAGATCGCGTTCCGTGGTAAACCCTAACCTATGGTTGATGAATACGGCCAATGAACCCTGAGGGTCAAACTAACCCTGGAGGGTAAGCTCAACCCTCAGGGTTCGTTGATGAATACGGCCACAGAACATGTTGAGTCTAGCTGTTGAGACTCGCAACATTTTCTCAAGAATGATGTACGAACGATTCCTTTCCTAAGCCTATCAACTGAATTTAGCTGGGAATTGGAAAAGCTACTTCATCCAAGCTGACATGCATTGTCGAATCCATCGGCTGCGCTTGTTGACGTCGTGCCCTTTGGACTAACGATGAGTGGAAAACATGACTGTGGATAGCAAAGGACTAATACTTGACAACGTATGGGATATTGAAGACTCCCTGCCCTCTAGTAGAAAAGGTATTGTCTCTTGGTTGGGTTGGTATGATCACGGCTACTTTTTAATGAAGAGTGCTGGTAACGACAGCACAGTCGAAATGGAAACAATCCAAGTTAGAAAAAAATTCTCTCAAAAAGATGTGGATGATTAAGCATTCTCTCGAGGTGCGATTATGTGTACGTAGTACAACCTTCGAGAAGGACACTGCTGTTTAAAGCGCCCTTGAATTATGTACTGGGTTGAAGGATATTGAGACGATTCTGTTGGGTGATGTTAGTCGTGAACTGAAGTAGGCACTATCTTATACTCCAAAAGGTATGCATTGATCTCATTTATTCAGGTACCAATGACGCTAAGATGACCACCCTATACAATACCGCTCACAGAACGAACAAATCATCCCATCGGCAAGCAGCTTTAGAGCGTAAAACGAGAAAAAATGGCATAATCCAAATTTTTTGGAGAATCTGCATATAGAGGTTATTTGACCTGCTGACTACGATATCATATACGGTGAGTGAACTTTGAAAGACCTCATTTTTCCAAAGTTCCAGCCCTTTTATCTCATTTGAGCTTTCCGCATACTCCTTAGCAGTGTATACTCTGCGGAAACAGCGCTATCGCAGCTTTTTTGCTAGATTTTGTGAGTTATGTACGTTGCATTATACTTTTGCGAGAAGTCTGTAGTTAATTTCAAGAAAATTGAAAACGGATCATCGAGGTAATGCAATAATATCAAATGATTCGCCTTGATGAGCTGAGCATACCTATTTTTTGGATACAGAAAAAATTCGT